CTCAAGGACTCAAGATCTTTTTAAAATAGAATAAATCTGAGCTGCTGTTAGCAGAATGAGACTTACAGGAAACGCTGAAGAAGGAGGAATAAGGGGTGGCATTGCTGACAAAACATCTTTGCTGGTCTTCCTGGCATTTACTGAGTGCTCACTGGTGCCCAGAGCTGCGGGCACCCCACAGATGCCTGCTGTATTTTATCTTTACAGTCCTTAAGAGGCAATGCCATTGCTACCATTTTGCCGATGAGAAATGTGAGCCTGGAGAGATCACAAAAGGTAATAAACAGCAGAGATGGGATTTGAACTCAGATCTGAGGACCTGAAGCACCCAAACATGGTAGAGGGAGAAGTCAAAAGTCTAGCTCCTGCCCCTCTCACCCTCCATGGCATCCCACTACAAGGCATATGATCCCCCGTTCCCATGGGGCCATCCACTGAGCATTCTATAGGGTGTGCTCTTGAGCCCAAATAGGTGCAAGTCCACATGGTGGTCTTCCTGCCTCACCCAGCAGCCAGGCTGCTGATGGGCAGTAGTGGTGGTCAGAAAGGGTGGGATAGAATTTGGCTTCTGGAGTAGGACAGCCAGGTAAAGTACAGGGTATACAATTAAATATGAATTTCAGGTAAATGACAGAAATTTTAGTATAAGTATGTCCCAAATGTTGCTTGAGACATAGTTAGACTACAACATTACTTGTTGTCTACCTGAAATTCAAATTTACCTGAACAGGCTATTATCTTTGGTAAATGTGGAACCTTCCTCAAGGATCCATTGAGATGGGAGGAAGACGCCCTCGCCCTCCCGTGGACTCCTCGCCCTGCGAGGAAGAAAGACAGTGCTGTTCTGGGTGGCCAATCCTCCTTTGGGCCACTACCCCAAATCTCACATCCAAAGTCTGCAGCCCTTGATGCACTGTTCTCTATCATTGTCAGAACAAAGTGTGTAAGGCTGACGGAGAATTGATAGAAATAGCTAGACAGACTTTCCAAAGGATTTTTCACCTCCTTGTCTCATTTAATCTTCGAGAAAGTTCTGTCAGGCGGTAGAAACCAGATTGTACAGTTTAAAAATGTGACCCAAAGAAGTTAAATGACCTGCTGAACAACACGCAGCTAGAAGGGTGGAACTGGGCAGGTCCTGGCCCAGGACTCATTTCCCCTACAACAGCAGCTAGCTCTCCATGGAAGATAAGTGACTGGCACTGGGTGGGGACCGTGACTAATGATTTTTCTGAACTCTGTCACATGCAGACAAAATGTTGCTTATTTTCCAGGGTCAGCCTCACGTAAAGTTAACTACTCCCCTCCTGGGGAAGCTAATTTCCCCTACTAGCTAGGCCTCCTTCTCCATCTCCTCTCGAGTCAATCCACTCTAAGGATGTAACATTCCGGGTTCCAGATTGCGGGTTCTGCATTCCTTCTTGAAGACACACCTGCCCACCTGCACCCCTCACTTCTGCCCTCCCACTCAGCTGTGCTCATCCTGAAGCACACTCTCCGAAAGGGAGGAAGGCAGTGGGAAAGAAGTGGCATGGACTCGAGTCCAGGCACAGGATACACCTGGCACTAGGAGACATCAACATTGTGTGTTGCATGTGAGACAGATGGAGGGCGCCGTGCCCTCATGTCTTAGGCACCCACATGGTTTCTCTGGAATCAACTTTAGTCCTCATTTTTAAATCTAATCTGCTCCAGCTTAGTTTTGAGACTGCGCTCAAGTGTAAACCTTGACTTATAACCTCACGTACTCCCAGATGGCTGGGATAGAGACCTGACCTTGGAGGAACTGTGTCTGGAAAATCATAAATTTTCAAGGTGCAATCAAGTTCAAAGACAGCCAACATATTAAAATTTCAAAACCCAGGCTCTTGACTTTCCTATTGCCCACATTATTCTTATTTGTTTATTTGCCAATTATACACATTTTATAGAGAGAAAACTGAGACTTAGAATGAGGACATGCTTCACCCAGGGTCACTCAGGGATTAATGTGAGAGCCGGGACAGGATCGCCTGGACCTCCTGGCTTCACACTGTTTTCAGTTAGCTGACGTGACAGCTGTTGGGCAGCTTCTTGGAGAAGGAAAATTAGGAAGTTGGTTCTTGGTCTCCATCTCTTGGTACCAGAGTCCCTCCTCTCTCTGCCCAGGCACTCAGGTGCTGTTCCCACCAGGTTTGCCCTCTTCCTCCTTTAAGAAACCCTTACCAAATCCCTCCATAAACACTGCCGGGTGCAGGTGCATATTTATTTGTCAGTAAACTTTACACAACATCTCCCTACATAGTTTTCACAATACTCTATGAAGACTCATAGTTGTAGTCTAATTTTAGAGATCGGAAAACTATGGTTCTGATCTGAAATTCAGAAAGGAGGCCTGACCACATCCCTTAAATTTGTAATGGCTCATTTCCAGACACACTGACTGCCTGGGGGAGCAGAGGGGACACTTCCCGGCACCTCTCAAGTCACTCCATGTTAACAACAACTCCGGGTAAGGCGGCCCCAGAAGCTATGTGCCTTGGTGACTCTCGTCCCTGCCTCTACCAACTGCCCTGGGTCAGGGCTGTGGCTGTGTCAAGCTTGCATCCAGCCCCTGCTTGTTCATTCCTCCAGGACTGTGTTGCTTTAAAATGAAGACCCTGGGCTCTGCATCTCCCCTTTCTGGGAGCAGATGCCTTGGAACAGGTGTGTGCCTGACTCCGTCAGGGAGGGGAGGGTACAGGTAAGACTCATTTCAGAAGATGAGTCAAAGCTTGAGAAACCCCAGCTCCACCCTGCAGACAAACAAGAGGTGGCTGGGCAGCAGACACCTAGCTCTGGCAGGGATAGCACTAATGATTTAGCTCTTCATTGAGACACATCTTGTGCAGCGCTCTTTTGGGGAAAAAATTAATGGCTGCATGTGAAGACAAGTGGGACATATTTATTATGCTGCTTCCAAGAACCACATAAGGGGAGACAGAAGGGAGAGGCCTGGGTTACTCCTGAGCCTGAGGGCTTTTTGGAGGGAGGGCTGTGATCGATAGGGAGCAGGGTGTGCTGAGGGCTGCCAGAGGTCTTTATTTTAGCTACTTATCCAGTAAAACTAAAATTTTAAATCAAACACATCTCCCTCTTACAAACTATGATCATGTCATATTTGCTTTATCTTCATTTCTAGTTGACACTTAGCCAGCAGCCAGGGCTTAGAACATTTTAGTTTCGAGTGTCTTCTTCCACTAATTACTCAATGATCTGTCAACAAACACTAGAAGATGCCACTTAAAGAGACCTTGTGACTTTTTTTTAATGTGGGAAATCCATTTGCAAAATGAATCATTTCACCCTATAATTTATCTGTTTGTAAATAAGATGCTCAGATACTAACATCAGGCATTCTGTATGATGGCATTAAAAGCAGCTCCACGAGAGAAGAGGACAGGATGAGTCTCTAGAAATATGTGATTAACTTACCTCCTCCCTCAACCGATTTTATCCACCTGTGACATCTTTCTAGAAGAACTTCCACAGTCCTGGGAGTTTTGTAAAGGGGAGAACAAAGCCCTGGACCCGAGGAGAGGCTAGTTCCATAGAACAGGCTAGACTGCCTTCTGTGGAGCTGGACACTGGTGTGGAAGGGAGGGGTGCAGGGGCAAGACGTCCATCTCCAGGAAGATGACCACACTTGGCCTCGGGGGCTGAGTGGAGCTGAAGCACTCGTCACCCTCTCCTGGGACAGCACCCTCAGTGGATAGATGCAGACAGGGCCCCCGGCATGGGGAAGCAGCTCTACTCTCCTGGAATCAAAGACTGTGCGTTGAGCAGGTCTCTTAACTTTTCTGGGACTCAACTTTCCTGTTCTCCAAAAGAAGGAGACAAATGGGACATATTTTATTATACTACTTTCAAGAATGACTTAAGGGAAGACAGAAGGGAGAGAGAGGTCTGGGTTACTCATGAGAGGCTAAAATTTTCTCTCAGGCCCCACTGAGAGCCGACATTCTGTGAACACATGACTAGGTCCAGGAGGCAGGTGTGCTTCACTTGGCGGGTGAAGACACAGCAGGCTGAGTTCAGGCTCAGCTGGGAAGCTTGCCTACTTGGCTAGACCATCTGCTGTGGGAGCGAGGCGCGACCTCATGCATGCAGGGAATTGCTGTCCCGAGCAGCGTGTGGTCTGCTAAAATTTAGGAGAGAGAGTAATCAAGCACTTGAGGAGGGCGTGAGGATGTAACTGTTGAAAAATCATGGTTAAGCCGATCCCTCTTATATTTCCCGTCTGAGCTCTGCCTTTCCTTAACACAGCTGCTAAGGGAATTGAGACTTTCAAAATTTGCCCCAGATTTTCCAGCCTCAAATCATTTGATCTGTGGTGATAGTTTTACTCCCTGGTTTCCCAGTGAAATTCAAGTTAACCCTCAGAAACCATTTTAAGTATTATTTTCTCCATGACCACTGTCCTTATTCTTTCCCAAAAGATGTGCTCTACTCTTCTGCTTAACACCCATGGCTAGCTAGCTAGCTGTCTATCTATCTGTCTGTCTATCTACTTATCTGCTTAGACATACTTGGAACACTTTACAAATGATTTGACTTGGTATACATATACATTTTTATATAAGCTACTTTAGCTATTATATCTATATATAAAGTATATTAACTAGAGTGTATGTACATATATGTTATATATATACATATAAAATGTAAGTTCCTTGGTGGTAGGAGCTGTTTCACCCCTCGTTATGTATTTATATATTTATTGCCTATTATCTACACCCATACTAATCAAGCACATGTGATATCTACTCCATAAATATGAACAAATGGATACATAAAGTAATGGGTGAATGATTTATAAATAAAAGAACTGAATGGTAAATCCACAGTTAGCTATTTTGATTTAACTCATGAAGTGTCAAGATGTTTTGTGGGCTAATCCATCTTTATAAGTCCAGGTTGATGTTTGGTGTCTCTAAGTATCTCTTTCTGTTTCTCCCAATCCATAATTTGTCCTCAAAGCTCTCAAACTTGAAAATCTATGCTGAAATTATCCATAACCTATGAGACTTGGATGCAGGGCTGTTTGTGTGTTGGAAGAGGATTCTTTGTACCCAAAGCACAGCCTCCCTAAGGACAGGAAGGATGTTCAGGACAGACTTACACCTGGTGAAAGTTGGAACTTGGCCAACTGATAGACCACCTGGTAGGTGAGTGGGTGGTGCAATTACTAAAGGATGCTATTGAATGAGTCAGTGAGTGAAAGAAGGAGGGAGTGAGTGAGTGAATCAATAAGAAATGAGCTCACAAATTAGTTGACTGACTGGTTAGTTCACTGAACAACAACTGACTAGTTGATTGAGTGGGTCTCCAAACAGATTTATTGTCTGTTTGGCTGACTAGTAGGCTGACTGGTTGATGGCTAAATTTGAGAAGCAGATTGGGGACAATACAGCAGAGAAAGTCCTTGGTGATATGGGACAAATGGTCTAAAATAAGAGAATGCTCTGCCTGGAATCCCCTAAACATATACTCTGAGCTGAGCAGTGGTTTATTAATTTATTCTCTTTATTTCCCTTATGAGGGAGCAATGGCCCCTGTGCTGTTTGTGCCTAGTCAACATGGCTAAGTGGACGTAGCCTCCAGTGAAGACCAGCCTCAGTCAGCCACCATGCAGCAGCAGTTCTTTTCCCAGAAGAAGACATTTCCATTTATGACACTGACCACAGGCAGTTTCAGTTGTTTCCAGGGCCTTGAGCCCTGGGACGTGTGGTTCAGATTGTTCCTTAGGACAGAGAAAGGGACCTCTCTGATGGTGGCGGAGATAGGGAGCTAAGCTAAACAGACAAATGACCAGATACCACAAGCTGGCTAGTCTATCTGACCTGTGCCCTCTCTCTGACCACAGAGACCTTCTTTGAGGAAGTGGTGACAGAAGAGAGCAAGGCAGCCAGCCTCAGCCTCAGACAGTGCCTGGTGGTGTCGGACACCCATGTTGGACCAGAGCCCACAGATCTCTGAATAGTTCTCTCTCTCTTGTGCTGTTATTGGCACATATTCGAGACTGGTGGATGGATACTCCACCTGTTCATCTTCCCCTCCTAAGTAGATGGGAAGCGAAAGGGCAGGACAACCCCTTGGGTCCTCAGTGACAAGCTGCTCCATGGCAAACCCTCAATGATTTTCCACACTCTCGGGATAAAACTCAAGCTTGTTCACTTGGTTTGAAGGGCCCTTCACCCTCGGATCTTCCCCAAGATGGCTTCTAATTTGTTCTCTCTGTCCTGAAGTCACCCACCCTCCTCTTTCTGCACAAGCCACTCCCTCTGCTGGAGTGCCTGTCCCTAATCTGTGCCTGACTCCTCTTAGGACTTCAGAGACTAGTTCACTTTGTCCCTGAAAATCCCCATCGCACTCCCGTTCTGAAGTACCCAGGTTGTACTTGGTGCAAGTGTCTGGCACCAATTATGCTGTTTTGGAATGAACATCCCCTGGTCTCTCCCTGCTGAATGTGAGCCCCCGAGGGCAGCATCCCCTGCTATCCTTGACTAGATGTACAGCTGTGTGCCTCATCCATAACTCATCTACCATTAATGTGCTCAGACAGACAGATATGTGGTCGGTCTGGAGCATCATAAATGTGGACTCTCCCAATGTGTGGTTGTGAGCAGGCACTTACAGCCTTGTGTGTGTGTGAGAGAGAGAGAGAGAGAAAGAGAGAGAGAGAAAAGGAGAGAGAATGACCTGGGAGATGGACATGTGGTGTTGGGGGAGTGGGTGCAGCAGTCAGCTTGGGCTTCCTTAGGACCCAAGGCCCATTGCATTGTTAACAACTGATATTTTCCTACAAACGACTTTCTGTCTGCTCTGGGGAAACTAAATAAACCATCTCTTTCCTTTGGTGACAGATCTTGTGCCAAACCATATCACACACCAGCCCCTAGGCAGTAGGAGCAGAGTGCCGCCTAGCGGCCATCCAAGCCAGTGCAATATTTCTAATTTTCCAATGGCAGCAGAGCTCCTCCCTCCCAGGCCTATAGGACCAGGGGCCTAAGACTCAGAGGAGACCCTACTGGCTTTTTCACCTCACCTACAGGCAGAGAAAATAAGACTCAAGGCAGTATTCTTCTCACTCAAGTGGCCTCTCATACCCCACCATGCTCCTCCTCTGGGGGGACCACCACTCTCCCCGTTGGAGTCAGTGCCTTCCCAAAGCCCACTGGCTGGCTCAAGGGTTATAGGAAGCAGTGAGGGTTTTGATGTAGACAGACTGGGGTGAGTCAGTGCATGGTGTAGGAAATGGGGCAGACAGGCTGCAGTTAGCAAAGCCAATCTGGATGGAGAACAAGAGCACCACAAAGGGTGGTCTCCAGTTTATTCTCGTAAAGAAATTGCCTCCTATGCTTCTTCTGGCCCCCAGTTGTGGCAGACAGCTCCTCTTGGCCCAATCTGGAGATAGAAGCTTGTAATCACCCCCATCTGAGCTGCTTGTGCTCTTTCATTGGTGCCGGCCGCGAGTCCTGAATACGTGCTGGCCTTAGGTCACCTCTTAGCGAGGTTGTCAGCTGACTGTGGCCCACCTTCTCTACTGGCCCCCCTTTTGATCCACCTGCCCTGCAACCACAGGCCATCAGACCCCTGGGAAAGCAAAGCCGATACCATTCTCTTAACTACTCCTAGTTTGTTTCAAGGAGTGTCAATAGGAAGATCTTTAGAACCAAGTTTCTGATTTTACAACTCTTCCCCTTAGACCCCAGCATAATATAAGACAAGATGAGAGATCAGCAGGACATTTTGATAAGATTATGGTAGCTGGTGGCACTTTCCTGACTGTCCACAAAGAGAATGGCATGTACACATGCAGGGACACACACACACACACACACACACACACACACACACGGATCCAAAACACAGACCACAGTCCTGACTCAGTCTCCTGCAGAGACTGGAATAAGGGCATTGAATGACCACTTGACCTGACTGGAATGTGGCTGTCCACTGTCAATTAGTCTTAAATACCACTAGCTATACTCTCATCCTCTCCTCAAACAGACCTCTAGTTTCACGTACACTTGTCTTACCATTTACATTTTATTTCCTCAAGGTCATTATGAGCAAGTAGAATTGGCCATTATGAGCCAATTGCCTGGAGGTCAGAGAAGCAGCTGAGCATCCCATAGACATCACCACAGCGTTCTCTACTCGTCACCATGTGAAATGTAAATGAGATCAGCTCAGTCCCTGTTTGACCTGGAAAAGTTTTCAGTCTAACCACTGTGGGAGCATAAAAATAATCAAAAGGATGGACTTGCTTGAAAGACAGACTTATGTCTGAATCCTAACTCCTCAGGTACTGTGTGGTCTTGGTTAGTTTGTTACCCTCGTGGATCTCACTTTCTTCATTCACAGAATAAGAGTGTCCAAATATAGTGCCTTGCTTAGAGTAGTAACTCCCTACTTTTAAGTGTGTGTGTGTGTGTGTGTGTGTGTGTGTGTGTGTGTGTGAGAGAGAGAGAGAGAGAGAGAGAGAGAGAGAGAGAGAGAGGTTCCTGGAGGGAGGCAGGACAGTCAGGTTAAGACTAAGAGCTCTGACTGTACTGATGTGGATTTAGCTAAGCTCTCTCTGTCCCTCCATAAGGAAGTCAAACAAAATGTCTGGTACCTGGGTGGCCCCACCCCATCCTTACTCTTTAAAGGTTTTCCATGACTATGACTAGTGAGGAGAAGAGATTAAGTAAAGATTAGGGTGAATCACCTCAGGTTGAGTCAGACCTGGAAGGAAGCTGAGAAGAATGCAGTGAGCCTTCCAGTGTCATGCACAGGGGAGGAAACTGAGGCTGAGGAAAGGGAAATGACTCACCCAGGACCACCCAGGATGGCAGGGCAGAGCCAAGATGGGGCTCAGGCCTCACGACTGTCCAGTGCTCTTGATTGGAGCTGTGGGGCCTCGAAAAACCCATTAAGGTGAACATCACTCTTCCATAGACCATCGGCCCTTGGGACAGAGGAGACTCAAGCCAACGGCTGCCTGGAGAGCTGAAGACAGAGAGGTTGGTTTCCTTTGCATTTTATTGATGAGTGAGATGAAAACGTTGTCTGATACTTCATAGCTGATGTGAAAATTCCAGAAGACAAGGACTAAATACTAGGAACTGGTAGTCCACATGGCTCTTCCCTGACCATGGACAGGACACACACACGCACAGAGCACTGCAGTGATAGGGAGGAGTTTCAGCAGACCTGGTGCAGCACAAGGCCATGTGTGTTCCTGTCAGTTTCTGTGACCAGGAGCACCGGGTGGTCAGAGCACATGTCCAAACCCCCAGATAAGGAGGGACTCAGGAACCCCTACTGCGCCCACCACAGGACCCTGGGGCCAGAGCCAGGCCTCTCTGCTGAAATCTATCCCAGGTACTTGCCCTGGAGCACGGTGGGACATGTGTCCCCTGGGGGGCTGAAAGCTGCCTTCACTTCCCCAGGGACTGTGGAGGAGAGAGTAGGGGAAGGACAGACCATGCCTCTGAGAAGCAGTTAGAGTATCTAATTCAGGCTTTGAAGTTGAGTTATTTTCATTTCATAGCTTAGAAAGGTTAAAAGTAAGTGGCCAAGTTACTCAGGGAAAATGTAGGGAAGCGAGGATTTGAACTCAGGTCTGTCAGGCTCCAAGATGGGAGAGTGTTTTCCCTGTACCATCCCGCTTTATCTGGAATGCGTAGTTGTATTCTTCTGTGAGGGAGACATACCTCCTTCACCCTCAGAACCAATCTTCTCTTGGGATCTCCCTTCATTGGAAATTCATTCAAGGCCAATGGACAGACATTCCTACAAGAATGTGGGAGAGATGGGCCTCCCTGGTGGCACAGCGGTTGAGCGCTGGGTTGCAAAGCTGCCCGCAGCTCCTGCAGCGCCGGTTCGATCCCCGGCTGCTCCCCGGCCATCAGAGGAGGGTCCCACATGGTGCACAGACCTCTCCTGCCGCCCGCTGCTCCCCTCAGCAGTGTACTTCGGTCCTTCTGCCTGCTCTGCTCCCCGCTCTGGCTCTGGTGAATTCTCTCGCCCTCCCACGCTTCTGACTGTACCCAGTGCTTGTATAAATAAATAAATTAATTAAAAAAAAAAAAAGAATGTGGGAGAGGTCTGAGAGAGTCAGAGGTCAAGCCACTCACAGGACATGGGGAAGGAGGTTGAACTCTCTGCTCTGAGGCCATGAAATGAGTGAGGAATGTGGTGTGAACAAATGTGACTGTGTGTTTGGGTATCTGTGTGTGTTAGTATGTGAACATGTATGTAATTAACATTAGGTAATTGCATGTCAGCCTGTGGGGTGGTTGTGACTTCATGTGAAAGCTCACAAATGAACACATGTGGGAATGTGAGTGTGCAAGAAAGTTTGAATATGCACTGGTTGGTATTTGATGCCTCTATGCACAGGTGTTGCTGAATCCATGTTTAATGTAAACATTAAATATTAAAACTACCTCTGGCACAGGTGGCTTGTGGCCATGGCACCAACCTCCTGCCCACCGGTGCCTCTGCTTTCACCCTGGCCGCCCACTTCAGTCCTCTGTATCACTGCTCTCGACGCTCCAAGTTATTCTGCAGAGTTGTAGAATTTCCACTAACAAACTACATGTGTACGGCATATGTGTGGGTGAACACTCACGAGTGTCATTGTGTAAACAGGTGAGTGTGTGACTGTGGTGAACATGCTGTTTCTGACTTCCAGTGGACTAGAGGATTGTCAGTTTGGAAATACAGGGCCCAGATTCTATACTCTGCTTCTTGTAGCTCTAACAGCATGAGCATTTGCTGATTGCAGAATGCAGACTTCAGGGCCAGAGGGTCCTGTGTTTGAAACTCAGCTCTGCCACCTGCAAGCTATTATCGCCATGAGCAAGTAGGGCCTGTTTTGGAAGCTCAGCCCCCCGTTCCTAGTGGGAATAGCAAGACATCCCTCAACAGGTCAGTGTCAACATGCTAAATGCTTGGTTCACCCAACTCAAGGGCCCTGCCCTGTGTGTGCCTCCTCAGCTCCTCAGCTTCAGTCCTTGTCTCCAGGAAGCATGGCTTGCCTGAAAAAGACATGATTGACTGTCCACACTGTCAGGGAAATCACTGCAGGCCAGAGCAGCCACAAACCACCAGAACAGGATCCCTGTGGGTAGCTGTGGAAAAGGGAAGATTCTATAAGAAAAGGGCAACTGCCACATGGGGTAATTACACCCGAGGCTTAACCTTATTTCTCCTTGTGAATTCCCACTCAAACCTTTGCTCTACTTAATAGGTTTTTGTTCTCACCCTGAAAAATGCCCTTCCCTCTCACACCTTCCCATCACTGTAAGTCTGGAACCCACATTCTCAAGTTGGCATGAATAGGAGAGGGTGTTGCCTGCAGGCTTGCTGCTCTGTCAGGATTTGGAAAATAGTAGTAAGAGCAATAGCTGACATTAAATGAATGCTTATTTTAAGCCATGTTATGTTTGCTATTTATTTACATCATCTCGTTGAAACTCCCTCCCCTGCAACCTCAGGGAACAGGTAATATTCTCACTATACAGATCCGAGGAAAGCAGAGCCTAGGGGAGTTGTAGGACCTAGGCCACACCACCAAAGTAGGGGAGTTCTGGGATTCAAACCCAGTATCATGGGGATAAAAGAAAAATCAGCGAGATTGTCCACACGTAAACACACATGCACACATATTATTTAAGGTCATTAGCAGAGAAAAATTAAATGAAACCCAGAGAGAGCTATGTCAGTAGCTTATGTGAGGGAGGATAAGGAAAGAGAAACAAGAAAGATTTGAGAGAAGATAATGAATGCTTGGGGGTCAGAGAAGAGACATTTGGAGATGTTGAGGGAGAAGACATCAGCACAGGAAAGGGTTAAAACTCTCCTCACTTGCAGGGAGTTCTGTTAAGGTTGATGGTGAGTTTGTGTGCAGTGCGGTGCCCTTGGAGGAGATGTTTATGGGACAGCTCATGGCGCCGGAGCTCTCTGATGTCCAGCGGCTGTGCACTCAGCGCGGGCTCATAGTTCCCCAGTTCTGGAACACACCCCTCCCTGTTAGCCCACTCCCACTGTCCTTCCACTCTAAATCCCACCTTCTCTGGGTGACCAGCACAGAACAGACATTTTCTGGGAGCTCTGAGCAGGTCCTGTCACAACTGAGATGGCCAACTGCTCCTTCCTCCCCTCAACAGCCCTCACTGTTGTCACTCTTTCTGTTTCCTGAATTCCAAGGGCATGAAGGCAGCAGTCACCCCACCCTGGTCATCCTTAATTAGGTGCCACCTTATCTAATGGCCTTGGTTATCTCAGGGTCTGAGCTTGGTCTTCTGATGGGGATGGTTAAACCAGGAGGCTTGGAGTCCTGTGCTGTGTCTGTGTTTTCAAAATGCCCATTTTCACAATTCTGAGCAAATGAGAAGGGTGCTCTGATGGCCTGCTGGGTAGGACCTGGTGATGGGTAGATGACCTGGTAGGTGGATGAAAGCTGAAGGGTGCAGAAGGCTGAGTGATGGGTAAAGAAGAGCCTGCAACCCCGGGAAGTAATGCCAAATGCTTCAGTCTTTAGCTAACTGCGCTCTGCTGGGCCTGTAGTAGATGCTGGGAAGAGTCCAGACTTTTATGTTATTTTCCTCTCTGGCTCCTTTTGGGTATGTCTGCTTGTTTCCTGATTCCCTTGGAGTTCAGAAGCTAGACCAAGAGCCCTCGCAACCCCGGTGCTGCTTGAGTCCATCGTTTCATCTCCTGGGAGTCAAGAAGTCTTGGTCCAGGCCAAATACCCAAAAGAAACCTGGACTTTTGGGTACCTTGACACTAAGATAGGAATAAGGAAATCAAGATACTGGTTATAAAGAAAAGATTTATTGAAAAGTGACAGAGCAAGAAATGGAGCCCCAGGGAGACCTCCTCAAACAAAGGCTCTCCAAGGCGCCAGGGCTAGGGCATCTATATAGGTTTTAGGGCTGGGGCCTGAGACCAAATGAATTAAAATCTTCTGGCTGTGAAGGCATGGAGCGCGGACTTGGCAAACGTCCATTTTCCATCTAGTGTGTCCATTCCTGGCTGCCAGCTGTGAGTGCCGATCAGCGGCAGCTCGGTGTCGCGCAGGGCTCGTGACCGCGGGCATGAATATCTCGTGGACACTGTGCGTCCACAGCTCCTGTCTGACCCAGTCTGGTCTCAAGGTCAGTAGCTTCTTCAACAGGTTAACTTGATAAGCTGCAAAGAGATAACCCAGGAATGCACAGGCTAGGGAAAAGTTAAGAAAAAAATCATTATGGGTCAAGGAAATTTATGGTAGCAGGTGTCTGGGCCTAGAGTAAGATGTATTTAACTTCTCGTTCACTAGCCCGATAAAAATAACACAAACAGCAAGGTTGTGTCCTGAGTCCTGTCCCTCTGTCTCTGTCCATGGAACCTCCTTTCTCAGAAGGGGATGAAGGCAAAGAGACCTGGTTGAAGTATCCCAATTTATGGGCTATTTTGTAAGAGAAGGATTTGGTGGGGGGTGAAGGGTGGGAGTGGGTGGTAGGAGCAATACAATCTAGCACTTAGGATTACCTGTGGGGCTATTATTTGATTACCTCCAACCCCTGGGAATTCAGAGAAGTAAAAGTAAGAGAGCAGTAGGGGTAATAGTTTGGGAGAAGTCCCAGCAAGAGAAATAATGGGGTATGATTTTGATCAGATATTGTCAATAGATATGTGTGTTGAGTACACGATGTTTGCACAGGCTGTTTCCTTAGGACACGTTGGATTAACTTGAAGAAACTCTGGTCTTTGCTTTTGTTTGTGAAAGAATTTTTAAGACCCTTTCTTCAACTTCTTTCGACCCATAAGCCCTGGGAATGTGTTGTCTGAATGATAATTTAGTTGCTTCAATCCTTTTCCTCTACTCTGCAGCTTTAGGTGGTGGGTCCCTCACTTGTTCTGGACCTAGATGATGCCTTTTTTTTGTCCCTGTTCTCTACATGGCATCACCACCCCCTGCTTCTATCAGGGGTTCCCATTCTTCATGGATATGGATGTTTGTGGTACAGAAGCGCCTGCTTCTCATCACCCCATTGGGCTGAGTAAATGTCCCCGAGCTCAGAAGTGAATCTATCCCAAGCCATCCTCTCCTGCACCCACAGGCCTGGCTGTCTTCAGCCTCTGGTCCATACAAAATCCACAGAAGTGTAAAATAATCAAACAGCAAAACAATGAGACATTCATGCCAGAGGACTTATGTTTAATATGGAAAACAGGAGCAGAAATAAAGGGAGGCAGGAAAGGGTGTCCAGGCTTGCTGCCTGGTTTCCAAGCAGCTGACAGGGAGAGGTAGATACGTGTCAACAGAGGTAATTAGACACTCTAGAACCAGATCCTTGTTTGAGATGGAATTTGCAACTGCTAATTAATAAGAAGCCTAGATCGAGGAAGCACCGCCCCTGCGCTGCCGTTTCTCAGAGGTGTGGCTGCTTCTGGAAGCTGGGGAGTGGGCTCTGCTGGTTGCCCGAGGGAGGGGATCTTCATGCTCGCTGCTTTCCAGGGGGTTCGGCACAGGTCTGGCTGGGTCTTACTTCTGCTTGGTCTTTGGGCACTGCTGAGCCGGAGGACACTTCTGCTGGCACTTGGGTGGAGGCTGGCAAGGCTGCTTGGTCTGCTGAGGTGGGGGGCAGCATTGCTGTGGAGGAGCACACTGCTGAGGTGGGGGAGCGCACTGCTGAGGTGCAGGAGCACACTGCTGAGGTGGAGGAGCACACTGCTGAGGTGCAGGAGCACACTGCTGAGGTGGAGGAGCACACTGCTGAGGTGCAGGAGCACACTGCTGAGGTGCGGGAGCGCACTGCTGAGGTGGAGGACAGCACTGCTGCGGGGGAGCGCACTGCTTCTGCTTCTGCTGAGACATTCTGGGATGGATGTGCTACTGAAAGCAGAAAGACACAGAAGTGAGGACCATGTGAGGCTGTAGAGACGGGCCCAGGAGAACCTCTTGCCAAGACCCTTCACATCCTACTCTGCTTTTACCTTATCCCAATCACTAAACCAATGTGAGGTGCGTACCCTCGACGAGTGTGTGTGTGGGTGAGCATAAACTGGAGTTCAGTTTGGAAGTTGTTTCAATTCCTTCTGAGCCAAATAAAGAAGAAAGGGTGGAGGGAGGAGGGAAGGGAAAAGGGACATGGAAAGAAAGTGGAAGAACAGAGGAAAAATGTGCAAAGAGAAAGGGGAAGAGAAGGCGGGAGTAAGGAAAACAGATTGGAAGAAAGAACTAAGACGGACACACTGTCACGCCAGCAACTACGGAATCTGGAATAGGATCGTTGGGGACCCACGTCCTGCTAAACCATCAACCAGCGGTGAGACTTGGAGCAGCAGCTTCACTTCTCTGTTCTCACGGCTCAGGGCTGTTTCATGGATTAGACGAGAATGTAAAATCTCGCCCATGCCAGCAGACACGCGCGCACACGCACACCCTCAGGACTAGCACACGGTGAGCAAATTATTCAGTAATTTTCTAAAAATTATAAAGGATGTCAAGGAACATCTTGGCATCTAGGAAAATTTATAGAAAGGAGGACGCAAGAGACAAAATAGACCTTATAGCTCAACGTAGTTGTGACTGCGGAAAGCAAGGCTCGGAGAGGGAAGTGATTGTTCCCCGGTCACTCACACAGATGAGTGGAAGGTCTGGCCCCAGTTCCACTTGCCAAGGTGCCACATGTCTTGTCCCCGGCCCTGCTCTGTGCCTCTTGGGTCTCCTGCACTCCCGTACCCCCGGCGACCTAGTCTCTTCCCTCCCTGGACTTGCCTTTCTCTCAAAGGGCAGCTCTGCCAGTTGCCCTCTGCCAGGGCTGGTGGGCCTCACTCCTACACTTCCTTCTCAGCACCGGGGAGACACAGCACTCACACCGGACAGCATGAGCTCCGGGACGTCGGGCCTCTTGGGTGGCTGTCCACTCCCACCTCAGCCCACCATCTACCTCTTGGCTGGATGACTTAAGCTCCAGATAGGCTGGTCCCAGATGCCCAAATGGAGTCTCTCTGACCCACCACCCAGACCGCCAGCCCAGCCCCGCTGCCTGGGAGGCAGGCCGTGAGGAAAAGCTCTGCTTTGCCAAACTTACCCAAGTTCACCAGTGACTGGAGCCTGGAGATGCCAAGGGGTTTGGGATGCTATGTGCCTGCCCACCTTTTATACATCTCACATCCCTGCCTAAGGCCATGAGGTGGCCTAGGATTGGAGTGTCCTAATTAGTCCCTAGTCACAATAGGATCCACCTGCCCTTCCTCAAATTTCAGGTTTTACTCACCCCCGGGCTGACAGCCTCCCTCACGGATGACGGAGTCTTCCCCCTGGCCCTGGCCCCACCTCCCCATCACTTTATGAGACCTGGCTGCCTTGGATTTCCAAACCCACTCGTGACTTTTGACTTAGAACCTTGGCATCTGGGATGGTCCCGAGCAAGCATTCAGGACAGTGCTGGGTGCGCGTGGGGGGGCGGGAGGGGGTGAGGGCAGCCTTCCGGGAAGTTCTGGTTGGCCAAAGGTGGGCTGGGTGGGGCGCAGAATGCATTGTTTTATGAGAAACCTAACAACAGAGGGAGGGAATGGCTCTGAAAATCCATTCATCTCAGTGAACGCTTAACTGGACTTAAAACACATTTGGCCTGAATGGATGGGGAGACAGTGCAGTGGCTTCCCTCCCCACCCCTCATTGTTATTTAAGCAATAGGAGGGGGCTGCAGCCCTCTGTCCTGCTTGCTGTTGAGGAAACCATTAAGTTCCATTTAGAGAAACTGGGTGGTTACAGTAGACAGTACTTATCTCTCTATCTCTCTACATATGTATGTCACCCAGACTCTAAGGTTCCCAGGGAAATGATTATCATAAGGTGGAGAAGCTAAGAAACATTGAATTAAAATGAGCTCCTGGAGGAGTCACCTGGGCTGGGTCCTGAACTCTGGGCTCCTGGGGCCCCAGGACTGATGCTTCTCCCCATTTGGTTAGAGACTCCAGGGCAAAGAGTGATGGCACAGGGCACAGACTTGGACATTCTCTACCTCTGACAAAGGACTGGCCATAGCTCTAAAATATCCCTAAGGGTGACCTTTACCAGCTGGGGGACCTTGGGTGTTTAATGTCTTTGATTCTCAATTCTGCTAAGGAGGATACTGACACCATCTGCACAGCAACAGTGAGGGTTAGTGGACAGCATTTGTCAAGTCTGTACATGGTGTTTGGCACAAAATAAGTGCTTGTCATCCTTACTAGCTTGCCTATTTCCATTTCTTCAGTCAAAGTCTCATGAGATTTTGAAAATCCATATGCCACACACACAAAGTCTCATGAGACTTTGACCAAAGAAATGGAAATAGGCAAGCTAGTAAGGATGGCATGGTTTAAAACTCAAACATGAGATTTGGCTGCAGCTCTACTGAAAGTCTTACAATATTCTGAAAACACAGACTTGAAAATAAAGTCTGGTGTTTGCTTCAGACCATGGTGCTAACTCCCTCGGATCACAGACTGTGCGTGGACAAGTAAGTGAGAGGGACCCAGAGGAACCCAGGCCTTCCTGGGAGAGGAATGCTCATTGGGTGTCACCCCTACAATAGCAGCTCCAGAGAGCCTCGGAGAGGGATTGCAGCTCAGGGTCCGACTAGTGGAGAATGACTGTGTGGGGTGGCCTGCTGGGATAGCCACTTATCCAAGACATGGCGCATTGTGCCGGACGCTGGGCCTTGTGTGTTGCAGACCATGGTGAGCATGGAGGGCCAGGTTGCTTCCCAAGGCATGTGAGTCCCCTGGCTCCAGGCTGTCTCTGGAGTTCAGCCGGCGTGAGTGAGAAGGGAACTAGCACTGCTTCATGGCCTTGCCCTCCTTCTCATGCCAACTCATAGATGGTTTTGACTTGCTTGACTTGTATTAGCTAGAGACTCAAACCCAAATGTCATTGGAGTGAAGGCTGTGGAGTTAGAGAGTGTAACCACAGCTCATTCTTGAGGTTTGTCAACAGGTATCATATGGTTTCACCCACCTGTGGAATATAAATAACCAACAGCATGCACAGGCAAAACACAACAGGAATAAATAGAACAAGAGAACATAATATTCACTAGAGGGGATGGGGCGGGGGAAGGAGATATGTGGGGTATGGGCACAGGTGTTTTGGTGGAGGGTGAGTGAAATATGTGCACATATGGAAGAGCAGAAGTGTGATCCCAAAATTAAAATTAAAGAAACATAATGCCACACACACAAAAATCTTGTTGGTCTGCCCTTGCACAGGCCCCCACCACCCAGAACAAACTTTCTGAGGAGGAGTTAGCTATCTCAAGAACATATGATGCAGTACTGTGTCTTCCATTGAAGAGGAATGGGTCATGGAGAAGCCACCAATGAGACTGATGCGTGTCCTGGGCGTTTGCAATGGTATTATTGACTGATTTTCATTAGCATCACTATCTTTATTCAAACTCTGTCTCTTACACAAACATACACACCCACATACTCATATTCACAAAAATACACATGGGTTTCTGTCACACTGTAGCCCTGTTGTTTATGGGGGCATTGGCCAGTTATCAGTAAAATTAAAAGAATGGAAGATGGTTTTACTAGCAATTTCCAAATGTGTATGTGCTCCCTATTTGCCCTGGGTCTGTCTAGCAGGCAGACACATTCCCTTGCAAGGAGGTGAGAGCCCATTTCCCAAACCTTCCCCCTTTGGGTTTTCCCTGGTGTTAGTTTCATCCTCATTTTACTTGCATGAACATGGGCATGATGGTGAGGTGGTGAGGCTAAGAGGTATTTTGGAGGAAGGAGGTAGGTAGGGACCTTACCCCCAGGAAGTCTCTGTAGTGAAATTGATATCTGCTGCCTGGCTCTGGTTCAAGCACCTGTTAGCATGCTAACAGGTGACAGTCTAGACCCAGCTGGAGCAGGTTCCAGGGGCTAGATCTGCAAGGGCCTGGTCAGTCATCATGGGTGTAGGAAGCTGATGCCAGGTTGAGCACTCCGGGGACTGGGTAACTGAGACTCATGGACCTGGCCCTCAAGGAGTTCACCATCTTCTTGGGATGATAAGACCGGCCCAGCATGATGAAGGAAGGCAGGCTGCGAAAACCAGGACCTGAGAGAAGACAGGACCAGGGAGGCACTGCAACTGGAGTGTAGTCACTTGGGGCTGGGCCTGTCTGATAGCAAAGCATCAGGAGACAGGAAAGGCCCCTTGCCTGTGGGTTCCTACAGGGCAGGTGCTCTGACCTCAGCCCTGGGTCCTGGTACCTGCCTAAGGTTTTACCTCAAAATAGATTTCTGTGAAATGAAGGAGACATTCCTAGCAAGGGACAATGGGCTGAGAAGATGTATGAAAGTGGAAACAGGTTTTAAGTTTTGGGGGCAAAAATGAGTCCGAGCTGATTGTCTGGATGATCAGTGCTAAGGAGCAGTGGGCAGGGAGGGAGAGACCAGGCCTGAGGCCAGCAGACTGGCTGGGACAGCCAGACTTCTGGTGCGTGGCTTCCCGAGAAGACCTGTGCTGGGCTCTGAACAGTGCCAAGAACACAGAGACACTTAAAAAATGATGCTTTTTAAAAAATATCATAGTAGCACAGAAAGGTAGAAAGACACTGGCTTTTGTTTGGAAAGCCTGGGTATGCCCTGGTTCTGACAATCAATGTGCCCTTTTTGAACCACTGGTTTCCCCTCTGCAGGCTCAGGGTTTCTACTGTGTAAACTGTGGTAAAGCGAAATCCTTTCCAAATGTAAACATGGGATGATTTTCCTGGGGGGAACAGGGAGCCAAAGAAGGGACACCCAAAGAGTGACTCTGGAGGGTGCTCCCACTGAGTGGGAGTTTGGGTGCAAGGAGGTGAGATGGAAGCGGGGAGACCAGTAGAGGGAAGAAATAGGGAGATCTGAGAGAAGACAGCGGCAGTACAAGTAGCTCAGAATGCATAGGACTGGAGGACTGGTGGGTGGAGAGAGGGAGAGGGAAACTTTGTGATTCTGAGTGACAGGAATGGAGAATGCAGAGATTAGGGCTAGAAGGAGGGAAGAGAAAGACCAGACTTGTGCTCATACGTGTTGTGTGTGCTCCGGCAGGACAGCCAGGGAGCTGCATGGACCATACACTGTGCACACACACACGGCTATGCACAGTAAGCGTGTTATGGACAGACAGAGTCTGTACCCTACGGGGCAGCAGCGCATGTGGGAGGAGGTTGGGAAGAGAGAGATCCCTTCTGCTGGGTGTCAGCTTGGTGCTGAGAACTGAAAGAAACCCAAGAAGGCAAAGCTCCAGGTCCCCGTCTCCAGCCTAGACCAACAGGTGCCAGAGCTGGAATCAGAAAATCCCCAAGTCTTCATCCCGGACTGTGTCAACACTCAATGACATCCTCAGCAAGCACTGGAGAGATGAGAAGATGTAACATTAGATGGAGTTTGGTATAAATTTACTGACTTTTATTTTTTTATTTTATTTTTTTTAAAGATTTATTTATTTATTTACTTATCTATTTATTTATTTATACAAGAACTGGGGTACAGGTCAGATTCGCAGAAGAGTGAGAGGATTCACCTGAGACAGAGCGGGGAACAGAACAGGCAGACTGACGAAATACACTGCTGAGGGGAGCAGCGGGCGAGTCAGGAGAAGTCCGCTGCGCCATGTGGGACCCCCGCCAGCCGGCCGGGACCAAACCAACACTGCAGAGGCTGCGGACAGCTTCACAGTACAGCGCTCAACCGCCTGTGCCACCAAGGGAGGCCCAACTTTTATTTTTTTAGAAAATAATTTCTGTTTACTTTTTTGAGACTCTGTGTCTTCCAGAGTTATTAACTTTAAAACGATGAATTGTGTCTGGCATGTTCCATTTTTTCACTTCCAATTTTATCACTTCAATAAAATTATTTATTGAAGAGAGAGTAAGTTATAAAGTGACTTTGCTTTTATTTGACAAAGTAAAAAGTAATCCTCTTCATGGATTGTTTTAAAAACCATAATTTTAGTTTTAGTGAAATCTCAAAACCTGCGTACCACGAGTGTTGAGTGTGGTTTATCCAGTCGGATCACCAACAGATGTGGAAACGGTGTGGTAAACAAGGCAAGTGACCTCCATGAGGTCACATTCTATAAAACGCCTGAGAAAGGACTTGAACATGATGCCTCACCAAAACCCAAACCAAAGCAAATCAAACAAAACAAAAGTAAACAAGAAGCAAGCAAACACATGAAACAGGGTTTGGGCTGATGTCAACATCACAACAGGAAATTCTTCTCCCCAGTTGTCTGCTCCCACCCCCGCTCCCCCTTAAAACTGGGCCTTTGCAACCATTGCAGGACCAGGCTTGTGTGGTTGGCACCCACACACCCCTGCTTCTCCCAGACTCTGCAGTGCACAGAGTGAGGCTGTGGCTGCTCCTCTCCACAGGGGACATGCTGTGGCCTACGGGACCCCATGAGGTGGGACACATTCCCAACTGCCTTGCCCAGGGTCTCACATTAGACAGATGGGCTCTTTCCACCACTGCCCCTCTTCCTGCCTCTCGAGTTGTGAGAAGTGAGGGATCCACCTCCCAGGCTCCCCTAACTGGCTCCTACTCCCCTGGCTTTTTCAGGCCTAGAACCAGTGGCTTCACTATAATGACAGGGATGTCTTGGGACATTGCTTCCCCAGGGGATGAAGATTTGACATTTCCCCCAAGATGTGAAATGAGTTCCCTGAGAGGTTGAGGCTCCACAGGGAAGGGCTTCCAGGTTTTTCGCTCACTCCTGGGCCTCTACCATGAATGAGAGGAAATCTACGTTTCCAGCCCAGGCCTGTACTTGTGCTTCAAATACAAGGTACATCCGGTAGCCTCCCCAATATACCCATCTGGATGTGTCAAAGGCATGCAGGCTCAAAACATCTAGAACCAAATTGCCGTCCCTCCCCTTGCTCATTTCCCAGGCCAGTGAACCCTCCTTTTACTCCTCCCACCACCCAGCAGAATACTCCAGGCCCTGGAATCTCCTCTAACCATATCCCTTCATTCACCCACTCCCACTGGTCAACCAGATAAGGGTAGAGTGTGTCACATACACTGTACGTGGTCTCAGGAAGCCTCTAGACTGCCCTGGTCTTCACCAGCTCTTGCCTCGATGGCAGAAGAGACTCCCCAACCATTCCCCAACTGTGGTCCCTGTAGCAAAACCATCTTCCACACAGAAGCCAACAGGGTAATTTTGAAAAGTAAGAGCATTTCTTGTTTTTAGGAAATATATTCTGAAGTATTTAGGGGTAAGATGTTCAGGAAAAAGAAAACAACATATAGATTATAGATGGATAGAGAAACGATAGATGGACAGCTAAAGCTATGTATGTATATTCTGTGTGCACGCCCACCCCAGCATTCGAAACATGTGGAGACGCAGGTATACATGCCTCGTGTCTCTCTATGTATAATGTCTTACACAACTATAGAAATACTTATACAAATGTTTGTTTTCTTTTTCCTGAACATACATATATAGTTATGTCTACATTTGTAAATGCATCCAAGAGGAGAGAGAGAGAGAGAAACCATGTGCCTCTGTGTAAAGGGCATCCAGGAATTCTTTGTATTGCTCTTGACACTTTTCTGTAAGAAATTATGTCAAAATAAACAATATTTTACTAAACAGATTTTAAATGTAAAGAGTCCATGTCATTCTCCTATCTGGAATCCCTGCAGGTCCCTCACTCAACACTTGCAGGTAATGTGTAAATTCTATAGGAAAGCCTCCCCAGCTTTATCTCAGCCCCTGGTTCATGTTTCTGCCCCATCAGCAAAGACCTGCCTGCAGTTCCTGGCAGACCTCTGCTCTCATCCTGGAGCCCTGGCTCTCCTGGCTCTTCCAGTGGGGATCCCCGGGTCCCACCCAGGAGACAGGCAACTGGATGGATTAGAAATTTTCTAATACTTAGTAGCATGGTGGGTGGAGCTAGGTGGAGTTTTGTCTCTATAACCTTTATCCTCTGGAAAGTTTGGGGGTCCCCTTCTCCCCGAAATACAGACGCAGGTCTTCTGAGGAATATCCATGCCTCTGCGTGGGTTAGAGGCAGGCCCGGAGAACTTGAGCAGTGTCGTCAGCCGGACCAGTGTCCCAGTGGGGTCCCTGGATACGTGGTTTTCTCTCTAATCACTCAAGGGAGAGGCTGGGTATCATCTTGTCTTCCCTGCTTCGTCCCTGACTCTAAAGAAACAACTAGCCCTTCTGTGACTTCCCTTAGAGTGGATGAGGGAGACACTTGCGTCTGGGGTGGGCACAGGGGAAAGAACTGACTAGGTTCATTTCATTCTGTTCAGAAGGATCCCACCCTTCACCCCTGCTTCAGCGCTGCCAACCAGGCATCACGTCTAAGTTTAGCTGGCACTCCTGGGGCCGCGCCTTCCTGACCAAGAGGACATCCTGCTAAGCCTGGGCGGGAGGAGCAGCCTCTGGCCTGGGCGACCCAGACCTCTAGCACGCAGCGTCTGTGTGTGCACTCTGGAGCTGGGGGCCACGGAGCTGGGGCCCTGCGCCCTCAGCAGCGCTCAGAGACCACATCCTCTGTCTGGATTTAGCGCTGATGAAGATTGGAGGGAACACACGGTCACCGGGGCAAACTAACTTGTCCCTGCTTGTTTTTCTGATTGTTCAGACTTGGGGTGACAGGCAAGTGAGGAAAACTGAAACTAAAGAAAACAGAAAGGCTCAGCTGATCTCCATGTTAAAGAACGGAGCTCCCAGGAGAGGGGGAGGAAACGGGAGTGTGCCCGCCCAGTGTCTGCATGGGGGTTTCCATGCAGTTTTAGAAAGGAAGGAGGAATTTTTTTTGAGGGGCAG